ACACCTGTAGTCCCAACACTGTGGGGGGAAAGGAGGGTGGATCACCTGAGGTCAGGGGTTCAAGACCAGCCTGTCCAACATGGTGAAACCCCATCTCTACTAAAAATACAAAAATTAGCCGGGCATGGTGGCACATGCCTGTAATCCTAGCTACTTGAGAGACTGAGGCAGGAGAATCGTTTGGACCCAGGAGGCAGAGGTTGCAGTAAACCAAGATCTTGCCACTGTACTCCAGCCTGGGTGACAGAATGAGACTCCGTCTCAAAAAAAAAAAAAAAATTACCTTTAAAAATTATAAAATTTACATTATAATTAAAGACTTTAATGTAAACAGTATGTCTTTTTCATTTCTTTGCCTGCCCTCTAATTATAGTTTACAAAATCAAGTAACTGTCACATCATAACCCCAACTCAACAAATAAAGTTCATTTTCTCATTGCTTCTAAAGTAGCATCTAGCCTTCCCAGTTCCACAAGCAGACAATGTTCTTCTTAAACAGAGTTACTTTTTCTTTTGTATTTAGCATATTTCTTTATTGATTATATCATATTTGAAATTTCAAACACTTAGTTCTTAAATGACATTTAAATCTTTTCTCATATTTTAATGATTATTCAACAGGTAGCACTGATAGTACTATTTACAGAAAACTTTGAAAAATAACTTCTTATTCTCAAACAATTCCTACTCACATCTCAGATTAACAACAATAGAAGATTCTTGTGGAATTGATATTTTTACAATTTTAAGAAAAGTTTAGCAATAATTTAAGAAGAGTTTAGCAATAAAAAACACTAAAAGCTGAATATTAAGTAACATTTTTTAATTAAACAAACTCCCAATTTCAACAATTATATAATTAATGTCAATACCAAAACAATTTTTAAGTTATGACTTTAGATCTTTAGACACTATTTCAGTCTTGAAAGTCTTGGAAAATGAGAACATATGTTCAAATCCAGTGCTATTTTTCTTCAATACCAAGAAGGGTAATTACCAATCTTTTCACTGTAACAATTCAACATGTTTGATCTTACAAATCCAGATTCTCACAACTTAATTTTTTAAAATTAAATTCAAATCACTTCAAACTAACTATAAGCATTTTTACAAGAATTTCAGCACACCCTTTGAGCTTACATGGCTGAATCCCAGAGAGCTTGAAAGCCGAGGCATTTTCTGATTACTCTGGCTTTCCATAAAGAATAAGCATTATACTAACAGACAATTCCACAGCTCACAAAAACACTGGTGTCAGGAAATTTGTATGAAATGACAGCTTAGTATGCTATTGCACATAATTATATGAAAGTATTCATTCATGCGTACATTCACTCAACAAACATTTACTGAGCCGCCTGCCTTTTATCAGCCACTGCCCTTGAGAAGTTCATTATCTAAAGAGCAATGTAAGTCATATAATTACACGTATTTTAGTATAACATGTAAGGTGATACAATGTGACATATACAAATTCCTCTGACCTACTCATTCTGATATACATATAATCTAGAACCCTGATAACTAAAGTGTGGTCCATAAACCACCATAATCGGCAACACCCAGCAGCTAGTCAGAAACAGAATCTCAAGTTCCACCTCAAAATCTACTGAATCACAACTATAATTACCTGGGTAGCATTTCAACAAGCTCCCCAGATAATTCCAATGCACATTTAAATTTTGAGAAGCACTGAACTAGAACATAACTGAAAATCAGCAAAAACAATGTCATAGAGTCCACATACTTTTAAGATCTTCAAGGCCCATCCTGAGCCTTTTTAAGAATGTATATACAATTTTAACAGGTTCAATGACTTAGTTTCACAGACTAGGAACAAATTAAGAGATACTACTGACAACAAAAAAACAAAATAGGAAAAACTTACAAAAAGCAATCTCAAAAAGGGACTGCTGTGTCATTTAGCATAGCAACAATTTGTCTACATAGGCCCCAAAAGTCTCACCATATTACAATAACACAAAAGTAATCCATGCTCTCAAACATGCCTCCTGTATCTAGACCATAAATTTCTTGAGGACAGACAGGTAGTTTTATCCTTAAATTACATTTGTAAACTGAATGACTCAAGTCATTAAGATGAGTTTGAGCTAGGCAGTAAGATATACGATATATTTTAGAAAAAATTCCATCTGACGGAGTTAAAAACATTTGCTCCAAAAAGAGAGAAAGAAAGAGAGCGAGGGAGGGAGGGGGAGGAAAGAGAAAGAGAGCGTAAAACACCCGGATGGATGGGGCACACCTGTAGTCCCCAGCTACTCAGGAGTATGAGGCCAGTTTGGGCGCCATGGCGAGACCTCGTTTCTTACAACAAAATAAAAAAAGAGTAAAGCATCCCCATTCTATAACCCATTCACCAAGCACTCTAAGAACACAGGCTTTATTGAAACTATGGCTCCCAATCCCAAAGTCTTCCTGACTCTATTCAAACCCTCTTCTGGGGGGATGATGAGAGTGCCAGGAGAAGAAGGAGAAAGATTAGAAGAGGATGGAGGGAAAACAGACATCACTGACCATGTCAGTGTTCCTCCATTCATGAAAATAAAACCAGCAAAAATACAAAGACACACCAAAGATACAGCAATCCTACAAGAGAACAAATGCTATCTCTAGTAAACATTCACTCCAAGTCTTCTGCCCCTGCGAACCAGGAACACGCTCACAATCCCTCAAACCTAAGAACTCCCCAGAGACACCTTAACTCTGGAAACATTTCCCCTCATGGCACTCAATGAGCTGGTGAAGGCCAGGTTATGATACAATTCACCGTTCCAAAACAGCAAACTTCAGGCTATAATCCACTAGGTCACTTTCTGAAAAGTGTTGTAATGTCTGTCGCTGATTCTTAAAAGGTTCTTTTAATTAGTTAAAAACTTTTTTACTATTTTTCCAGACCTATTTTTCTTTTTTCTCCTGCCATTCTTGCAGGATACCAGAAGCAAAAAGACGTATTTTTCTGCAACTTCTCTCCAACCAGGTAGTTCTCATTCTTACTCTCAAAACAAATTAGTTGCCTTGTCTACGCCATGGCTTACGCTGTTAATCCATTCAGAGGCCTTTTCCATCTCTTAATCTGATTCTGCACTAATATGTCAGCCCCAAGCCATGTGTGGATATTTAATATCTGAAATGTGGCTAGACCAAACTGAAATATAAGGTAGATGTAAGATGCACATTGGATTTTGAAGACTTTGCACAAAAAAGATGTACAATTATATAATTTTTAAACTAATTACATGTTGAAGTATGTTAAATAGATTATTAAAACTGATTTCACCTGTTTCTTTTCAGTTTTTGTTTTTGTTTTGAGACGGAGTCTCACACTGTCGCCGGGCTGGAGTGCAGTGGCTCCATCTCCGCTCATTGTAACCTCTGCCTCCCGCGTTCTAGCGATTCTCCTGCCTCAGCATCCTGAGTAGCTGGGATTACGGGCACGCGCCACCACGCCACGCTAACTTTTGTATCTTTAGTAGAGACGTAGTTTCACCATATTGGTCAGGCTGGTCTTGAATTCCTGACCTCAAGTGATCCGCCCATCTCGGCCTCCCAAAGTGCTGGGATTACAGGCGTGAGCCACCACGCCCAGCTTCTTTTTAGTTTTTAATGCTGCTACTGGAGAATGTTAAATTACAATATGTGACTTCTATTAGACAGCCCTGGGGTTTAAATCCTACTCATTCTTCGAAGCCTAATTGAAATGCTGCTGCTTTCATAAAGCTTTCCCCCAGTGACTCCAACTGCCCCAGCCCCCACTGCCAACCTCTCGTAATACTTTTAATCACACTCACAAAGAATGAGATTAATTTTACTTTGTTATACCTCCCCAACTCCAACATAAGCAAGTTGAAGGAAAAAAACTACATCTAGATCACCATGAAGTGTTCCTCTGACACCTTGGAGAGCCCAGCGCTAAGGAATGGTTGATGTCTGCTAATGGAGGGCTGAATTTCTTAATTACTAATTATCTATTCCTTTCAACGATTTCCATCTTTTTTTCCTCTGGGATTAAAGTCGAGGTCTATGAATGTCCTGTATTATTTTTAAAGTGCCCATGAGCTGTACACGTACAATATAACGAACAAGTAAACCCAAAACTAATACATGTGGTCAATGCACTTAGATCAACTGTAAAACTTAGACAAGCCTCTAAAGTTCCCTTTTTCAAAAGTGATATTGTAGAACATAACAACGTATTGTGAGATCAACTATTTCAAAAGTAGAAGCCTTTCCCAAAGATTAACACTGGGTAAGCAATTTACCAAAAAATTATTGGTGGTCCTCCCCCACAATCCCGAGTATAAATCAGGTAATCATGCAAAAGCTTGGGTGCAGCAAGAGCAAAGTCCCACACTGCATCCAAAGCTCAGAAATCGAGCTGTGAGAAACGTGGTAGTAGGGGAAAAGACGACTTGCGTGAAGGAGACGCAAGATGAAAACTGTTGGAATGCAAAACGAGATAACAGCCGGAATAAAAAAAAAGAATACCAGCTACGTAGAAGGGATCCTCCTGGGGTCAACCTCTGAACCCTCAAGCAAAGTTCGCAGTGGTCATTTCAAAACGTCTTTTCTTCATATTGTATTTTAATGCCTCAGATCTGCATCCAACAAACTTCCGTCTTCAGCCTGCTCCAACCTCCCACAGCCAGGGACTCCGGCCAAACCCAGCCCTGAAGCCACCCTCTCCAGCACACTTTGGAGACTGACGGACGACATGGGAGGACCGTTCTGAGGCCCAGCACCTGGATGACACCCCTCTCCTTGGGAGTCCCGCCCCAGTCCCTTGGGCAGAACCAGGCAGGCAGGGGGCACCGGCAGGCAGGGGGCACCCGGCAGGCAGAGGGGGCGGGGCAGGGCACCGGACTTCGCCTAGGACCGGCCTCTCCATTCTATGCCGACGCCAGACGGCTCCTCGGGGACCGGCAGGATGTTGAGAAGGAAAAATAAAGAAGCACTGGGAATTAGCCCCGGCTTTCACTCACCAGCCGTCGCCGCTCGACGTTGGCAGCGGCAGGACCTCTTCTCCTTCCGCCATTGCTGTTGACGTCCACGTCACTTTGCCGAAAAGTGGATCCCGCGCTGAGACCAACTCTGAGACCCAATGTCGTAAAAGGTCTTCGGAAGTCCAGCACTGAGCTTCCCCAGACGGGAAGAAAGAGGGAGGTGGCAAGGGACTGCAGGAACGCAGCGTCACGGCGTCCCGAGGCCGAAAGGCAGCGTCTTGGGGGAGGAGACTTGGTGGAGGCAGCTGCCCCTCCAAAGACTACATGTCCCAGGATGCCACGGTGCCGCGGACGGGGCGGGGTGGGCGGAGCTCGTTGGGAGCCTTCCCAGTTGGAGGCCTTGTGTGGTAACAGCGTCTGTTTTTGGCGTCCAGTTAGCGTCTTCATTCCAGCTTGGCGTCGAAATTAACAAAGTTAGACTTTAGAGTCCTAACTATTTGAGAAATCCAGGGAAATGGGAATTGACACAGCGAAGGCGGACGTAGGAGAAGAGCCACAGTTCAGTAATTTCCTGCTGTAGCAATTTAATTTGCGGAAAGAAGTGGGACGTAAGGAAAGGGGCAGACCACCCGTATTTGTGAGGCCCCGTCAAAAGTATTAGTGAAGGCCCGCATACTTTTTGTCTGAATATTTAAAAGTTGTAAATCAAGCTAAATACTAAAGGAAATACGTTCTAGCCTCCTAACTTAAATATATCTTCCTAACAGTCTGAAAGATCAAGTCCGAATTTAGAATTCTAAGACTGGAATTCCAGGAAAGGAGAGCTGCCAAAATCCTTCTCTTCCCATTCCACTTCCCCTTCACACCACATGGGCGGACACTTGGCCACCACCGGGGCCTTGGGATGAGCACACACTCGGGAGGATGAACCTAAAGAAATGCTTTTGCAAGCCCTGAAAACAACAGTGATGAAGTAGTACTGCATGTAACAATATGGATACATCTGAAAAATACGCTGTTAAATGAGCAAAACAGATTGCAGACGGATAGGTAAAGTATGGTATCATTTATATTTGGTGTTTAAAAGATAGTATATTACAAATAGATCCATATGAGCTTAAAATGCAGGGGAATGATACATAGAAATCTCGGAATGGCAGTTACATTCAGGGAAAGGGAGGAGTCTGCATTAATTTTTTAATATTTTATTAAGGGCCCAAGGTGGCCACATAGGTGGCCAGTATTCTTTATAGAGTCTATACTTAGGTATGTAAAGTGTTTCATGATTTTAAAACCTATTTTTTATTAAAATAAATACAAAACAGTACAGCTATCTCATTTACAACCAAAAACATGTTCACTCTCTTCCCTAAAAGGAAATAATACAGATCTGCATGGTACAGCACCCACTTCCAAGGCCCGGATCTCTGTAATGTTCAGTCCTCTGTTAGGGAACATTTCTTTTAACATAGAATGAGACTTTAGATGCCCTCTATCAAAAAGAATAAAAGACGTGAATCTAGGTCACATTACCATTCTAATATTCAGGACCTCCCCTGGGTCCCTTCAATTGTTGCCAGTAGGTTTTCAGAAACTTTTCAAAAAATGGTTTTAAAACCTATTCAGTCATTGACATGAGAAGCAGTTGTTCACTGGTTAAGAAGATTTTAGTACTCAATTATGATTCATTTTGAGTATAATTAAATCAGCAACTGCTTTATAGTCTCTAGTAGAATATTTTCCCCTTAAAAATATGTCACTTGACATTTTTAAACAGTTCTTTATTCTGTCAAAGTAAAGTGGAAAGTTCTGACTTCTATGTTTTTTAATGGAGCCAGAGCCAGCTCCATGGGCATGTAGTCTATGCAATAGCAAGAGACCACACGCTTAGAAGAGCAATTGTGCTTAATTTCATGCTCTAGTGTTGCCATCTTGAAATTCTTAATAATTTGGGAACAAGGAGCCACTGGTTTTAATTTTGCACTAGTCCTCACAAATTAGGGAGCCAAGTCCAGATAGGGTCAATATCTTAGTGATGTATAACCCATTGGGGACAAGATTTCAACCGAAATTGTTTAGCGATAGTATCTTCTGGGGATTTGTGTCATTGGTTTTTTTTTCTTTTTTCTTTTTTTTTTTTTTTTTTGAGACAGAGTCTCACTCTGTCACCCAGGCTGGAGTACAGTGGCATGATCTCAGCTCACTGCAACCTCTGCTTCCTAAGTTCAAGCAATTCTCTCACCTCAGCCTCCTGAGTAGCCAGGACCACAGGCGTGTGCCACCATGCCCGGCTAATTTTTGTATTTTTAGTAGAGTCGGAGTTTTGCCATGTTGGCCAGGCTGATCTCGAACTCCTGACCTCAGGTGATCCAGCCACCTTGGCCTTCCAAAGTGCTGGAATTACAGGTGTGAGCCACCATGCCCTGCCCATATGCTCTTTATTCATCAACCTGTTGTAAGTTCTACTCAGTATTTGCTCCAAGGTCATGATATTCAAGACCTCGGACATCCTTTTTCCTCTAGTGATAATTCTAGAAATCTAGCTGAGAGGCCAAGTAGTACTTGAAACTTGGAAGGCCTTTGACTCCTTTTTCTTTATTATTATTTTATTTTTATTTTTCTGAGACAGGTTTCACTCCCTCAAGTAGAATTTGTTAAATTTTCATAATGGACCTCTGCTTAAAACAACACAAAAACACTTTTCAAGAACTAGAGAGGATTTCATTATGAAATCTTGGGGTGTATCCCCTACCTGCATTTGTGCATCTAATTGTAGTTCCCACATCCAAATGGGAAGATGTATTATTTCATATTATCCTTGGATAAAATCAAATCAAAATGTATTTCTTATAACGAGAAAATTAAAATGTCTTGGTTTTAAATGAAATTGTAGAGAACATAAAAAGATTTTGCATCTATTATTTGGTGTTCTGAGCCATATAATTATGTCATTTATACTGTATTACATGTACTTAATTTGTACCATGCCTATGACACATAGTAGAATCTCCATAAATATTTGTAAAATGAACTAGGGCATTTTCTGAAGTACTTTTGTAATGGATTAAGCTATTCACCTATATAGAAATGGCTGGTTGGGTTCAGGGGCAAGTAAGGATTAAGAACTCATCTGCATGGTCATAGTTGTTATGTGAGTAGAATTTAATTCAGTTTTCATTGTAATATTATTTTAGCATTTGTTAAAAAGAGATGGAGAAATGATCATAGCTCTTGATCATTTATTCCATATTCGTGCAGCCTTTTCTTGACTTTTGTGCATTCTTAGGTGACGACAAAGATCTAATGAGATGTTTTAATCTACTGCTACACAACAAATTACCCCAAAACTCAGTGTCTTAAAGCAATAAATACTTAACTCACAATTTCTGTGCATCAGGAATCTAGAAGCAGCTTAGCTAGATGTTCTGGCTTAGGGTCTCTTGAGGTTGGAGGCAAGATGTTGGCCAGGGTTGCAGTCATGCAGTCATCTAAAGGCTTCAGTGGGGCTGGAGGATCCAGTTCCATGGTGGCTGACTCACATGCCTGATGAGTTGGTGTTGACTGTTAGCGGGAGGCCTCAGATCCTCCCCAAATGAGCCTCTCCATGGGCTGCTGGAACATCCACTTGATGTAGTGGCTGGCTTCCCACAGAGTAAGAGTTCAACAGAGACCATGATTGAAGCGACAACATTTTTTTATTACCTACCCTCAGAAGTCATAATTTCTGCAGTATCTTATTGGTCAGCTTTATTCAATGTGGGAAAGAACCACAACAAAGGCTTGAATACCCAAAGACAAGAATCACTGGGGGCCATCTCAGAGGCTGGCTGCCACATGAAGTGATATTAAATCCTACACATTCTTCATTGTTCAGTGAAACTTGTCCCTGGGATTCCTGCTCATATCATCTTAACCCTTCTTACATTCTGTCGCCTCTCACCTAGTTTAGGACCATCAACAGGCACTCTCATCTGGGCACTGAATCATACAGCATCTTGTATTCTTTAACTCTGAGAATGGCAACTGTTTTTAAGCTCCTCCGTAGCCTCCACTGCACCAAATGCAAGGCTGAACACATAGATAGTGCCTAAGAGTTCTTGTTAAATAACAAAATATTGATTTTTGTTTCTGCAGCTATTGTGTGAGAGTTTCAGAATTGTAAACTTTCCCAAGAATTTCCCTTTGTACCTTACAAGGACAAATATTTTCACAATTATCAAAATTAGTTCAGTTATTTGTCTTTTTAAAATCCCATCAGGACCTGCATTCCCAGGCTCTTTAAACTACTGAAGCTTAACATTTACTTGAATGATGAACAAAACCAAGTTAATTCCCATTCACAGATGACAAGTGAACAGTTGGCAGCAATTTCAACATCTGCTTTTAATTCGTTTTAAAATGTTGAGCAAACCGATAAAAAAATTAAAAAAGAGCTGGAAACTCTATTTCTCCATTATCCTTCTAGTAGTCGTCTTCGCTAATTGAAGTTGACTCTAAATAGGTTTTGTAGTTGGACCCAAAATAAACATTTGGATAGGGATTGACCCATTCTTAGGTTTGAGATGTTTGTGCTTTAATGTGGGAGTCTGTTTAACCCTTTGCTCATTCTAATTTCGTTCCCAAATGTTCCAGGCAAAAGGCTTTTATTGGGGTTGAGTAATTCCTGGTTGGAAATAGGGATAGTAAACAACATGTTAGCTGGAACTAGCCTTAGTTTTTAAAACTGAACTTCCTGCTTTTTCATGAACTAACAGCTGTAAGGACATACACACAGGCACAATCTGAAAACAGAATCCTTCAGACTATGGCAGTGCTATTCTTGATGTATAATTTATCTCTATTTGCCTTATACACTTGTATTCACCCTTCCTTTTTGGTATATCTATGTGTTGCCAAATAAAATCATTAGCAATGAATCATCTAAGGTAACTGGATGGAATTATATGATATATGCTTTTGACAAAGGGTGTTAAAAATATAGGTATATGTTACAATTTATCTGAATATGTTATTTACAAGCTGATTTCTCTAATACCCTAGCTAAATTGTACAGCTTGTCATTGTCATTTTCACATCTCAAATTTACATAAGAAAAATACAAAAGTAAACAAAAATAATTTTAGGATATCATGAATGTAAAAAATGACTACAGATACAAAAGCATCCAGAAGTTTAGAAGAATTTATTCTCTATAATTTTGCTCACACTTTTTTCCGGGACAATAATAAATTCTCTGTTGTTAATTCTCACCTATAATCTGGTAACTCCTGTATCTCCGTTTCCAACCCATTATTACTATAGCAATAATGTTGCCATAAAAAACATTATTATTTTATAAATTATTAATATTTTCAAAGCATTCTGTGATAATCTGTCAGCAGAGAGAAAGCCCATTTGTCTTCAGCCTGTTTGTCTACCTTCAATTTAGATAGATATTCAAAAGAAATTTTTTTTTTTGGCACTCTTCATATATAAATCCAGCCATCTACTGGGAGCTTGCACTTGGATGACAGATATTCTGAACTCAACATTTGAAAACTAAACTCATTTTGTCTACCTACCTGCCAATCTCTACCTGCCATTTCTTTTTGTTAATTTTTCTTTATTATTTACTTTTATTTTGTTAAATTTCAAAGACTGTGTGCACATTTACCTGCCAATTCTATAGAGTTGAATTTTTTCATTAAATCTCCAGTCTTCTAGCCAGAAACTTGGAACTTAGTCTGACTTCTTTGTCTTTCTTCCCATCGGTC